AGTGAAGAATAATATATATGATGAGTTATTTTTCCTATCAAACAAATAACAGGAAAGCAATATTTATATATATATTTTAAAAAGAATTTTGGTATTTGTATATATGATGGAAAAATATGTATCTTTTTTTTTTTTCTGTGCAAAGGAAAAATATGTATCTTAGTTGACGAAACTCAGGTTATTTTATTCAGAAAACGAAACTAATTCTCAGGTTATTTTATTCAGAAAACGTTAGTCGGTTTTCGGTATTCACGAAATTATTCTAGGACTTTCAGTACTTACGAAACAAATCGGTATTTCAAAGTTACCTTGGAATTTTTGGTAGATATTTCAGAACTTTTGATATTTACGAAATCACCCCAGAACTTTTGATATTCACGATATGATGATTTTTACATAGTGAAGAATAATATATATGATGAGTTATTTTTCCTATCAAACAAATAACAGGAAAGCAATATTTATATATATATTTTAAAAAGAATTTTGGTATTTGTATATATGATGGAAAAATATGTATCTTTTTTTTTTTCTGTGCAAAGGAAAAATATGTATCTTAGTTGACGAAACTCAGGTTATTTTATTCAGAAAACGAAACTAATTCTCAGGTTATTTTATTCAGAAAACGTTAGTCGGTTTTCGGTATTCACGAAATTATTCTAGGACTTTCAGTACTTACGAAACAAATCGGTATTTCAAAGTTACCTTGGAATTTTTGGTAGATATTTCAGAACTTTTGATATTTACGAAATCACCCCAGAACTTTTGATATTCACGAAATCACCCCAGAAGTTTTTGAAATTCACGATATCGCCCCAGAAGTTTTTGATATTCACGATATCGCCCCAGAACTTTTGATATTTACGAAATCACCCCAGAACTTTTGATATTTACGAAATCACCCCAGAACTTTTTGAAATTCACGAAATCACCCCAGAACTTTTTGATATTTACGAAATCACCCCAGAACTTTTGATATTTCGAAAATACCCCAGAACTTTTGATATTTACGAAATCACCCCAGAACTTTCAGATATTTATTAAATCACCCCAGAACTTTCTGATATTTACGAAATCACCCCTGAAGTTTCTGATATTTACGAAATCACCCCAGAACTTTTGATATTTATGAAATCACCACATAACTTTTGATATTCACGAAATCACCCCAGAACGTTTTGATATTTACGAAATCACCCCTTAACTTTTTAAAATTTACAAAATCGCCCCAGAACTTTTGATATTTACGAAATCACCCCATAACTATTGATATTTATGAAATCACCCCAGAAGTTTTGTTATTTTCGTAATCACTCCATATCTTTTTGGTATTTATGAAATCATTCCAAACTTTTGTTATGGATATCTGTCTTCCTCTGTTGAGCATTGTGCACTAATCTTGACTTCGATAAGTTAGGGTTTTATACTCGTTTCTTCTCAGATAATGAAACATCTAAATGGAGCTTTTTAAATGATATTAAAGTCCATCATTTTGCTTAATATAAATTTATACAATATATGTTTGATCCTGGATAGTATCTTATAAACATAACCAATAATTTTAACTATATATTATACCATAACTAAAATTTACTATTTCGATATTAAGAACACTCTTATTATGTCTTTGAAGATGTCTAAGACGACATTTTATTTTTACCAGTGTTCAAGAAAGCGCTAGGCGTTAAGCGGGCGGTGACCCAATGCCTAGCGCCTAGAACGCCTAATCGGAGCCTAGGCGATTTTTTAGGCGGTTTAGACGTTTATAACATAAAACATAATAAATATGATATCATATATAAAAGTTATATAAAATATCTAATAAAACTAAAAATTATGAAATTATAAACAAAAACTAGATAAAACATTTAATTATATTTATATTCAAACAATATATAAATATTTATAACTATATATATATAAATAAAACTCTAATTAAAATTAAAAAAATACATTAAACAAGATCTATGTAATTTTAGGCGGTCAAGGCGGTTATCTAGGCGTCGCATGAGAGCCTAACGCCTAGTCGGGGCCTAGGCGACCGCCTAGACCGCTTTTTAGAACACTGATTTTTACCAACACATGATTTTTTTTTATCAGGCGATAATATTATGTAGATTTAGATCTTTAGAAAAAAATAAATCACCAACGACATACGAAAATCATGTGATATTTGGATAGTGGATCTTAGATAATGGTTAGGTGAATAAATATCAAAAAGCATTTTTAAAAACAAATATTGTGTAAGATATTGGTTTGTTTCAACAAGAATCCACAATTCACTGTAGTTGAAACTTTCACTTTTCGTATAGATTGCATAAATTTTTCTTCGATATGATCGGTGATGTTGTTCACTTAAGAATCAAAATTTTATAAAATTTTATTTTATAAAGTGATGCATAATAATATATTGAAGCCTAAAATAATATAAGTTGTGCATTTGTTTTTCTAGTAGAAAAAACTTCAGATTCACAGTTTTCTATTTTTATAGTGTCTCAATAGAAAATAACTCTTATATTGAAGTAGATTTTGCTTAAAAAAAATTAAAAGTTGATTTCGCATTGACTGTTTTTTACATGTAATGTCGGTGTTGATTCTGACTTGTCTATTCAAGATTTGATTGATTTAATGCCTAGGAATAGATTATTGTGTCGTCGTCTTAATGAGATTGGGACATTGATAAACATTCTTAAGAAAGGAACTGCCTTAGAGGGGAGAATTCACTAACTTTGGATTTGAAGAGGAAAATAAATAAGTTGCAAATGATGTTGGAAGGTACAATGCTAAGGACGTCATTTTGAACATTTATGAGAATAAGGAATTTGATACCATGCTTGAGAAATGTCTCAAATTTGTTCTCTCGCTGCTGCACGACTTATTCTTAATTACTAATGATTATGGGAAAATATGTATATCATCCACATGATGATGCAGATGAGTTGATTGGACATTTATTCTCAATAACAGGTTTTGGAGTTGATGCAAAAAGCAAAAAATTTGGGAGGCGCAAGATTTGTATTGTGAGCAAAAAAGCTGACAAATATTTGTATATATTTTTATTAAAAATTGAAACTATCCAGATGGGCTTAGACCTCAGAGAGAATCCAGTTACAAAAATGGCAAATCGTAAACCTCGCCGGAAAAGGAAAAGAGACTCGGAGCCTGTTGATCATCGACCGCAGAGCAACCGGAGCCTTAAATCTGGCGAACTCAAGATCTACGGCTTCGTGGTAACAACGATGGATCGAAAAATCCTGTCGGAAGAGTTCGGTTTCCGTTAGAGATCCCTCACCGTCGGTGCACCAAACATGCTACAAACCTCCCAGAAAGCTAATCACTCCGACAACCGGTTCGACGGTGTCAGATCTCAACCTAGCAACACGACACACTTGGAACTATCCTCTCTTTTCCCGATCTGTAGCTTTCCGATCTCCTCGAGTAGGTGCACTTCGATCCGGACAGGTGGATGCCAACCACGGCGTATTCAGAGGACGTTGGCTCAACCAATCACTCTGAACACGGAATCCGAGCCAGCCATCTAAGATGCAGAAGACCTACAGTTAACCACCGTGTCGAACAACGAACCCACCAAATCCCCACCAACTTCCGCCGTAGCCGCGCGGCTGAGCCTTGAAGAGATTTGCAGCAACTCTCGGCGTCCTCAACCGTGAGACCACGCCAACAAACCTCCACCTCCGCCAAAACTAGAGCCACAACTACATCGATGGGAAACCACACCGCCGTCGACGGAGGAGAACACCTACTTACTCCTGGAACCTCTTTAAGAAACCTTGACCTACGATGAAGAGCAAAAGGAACCATAGAAATTAGGGACTGATTGGTAACGACTATAAGTTTTGGCTTTAGATGCTTTGACTTAAAAAATTTGACCTGCAGAGAATTTGGCTTTAAAAATTTTGGCTGTAGAAATTTTGGTTGCTAAAGTCTGATTGGTAGCACAAAACTGTAGAAGCTGTGACTGTTATTTATTTATTATTCTTCTATATTAATAATAAATATAAATTATGTTAGAAATGAATTCATATGCAAATATAGTTTTATTAATGATAAGAATTTAGAAAAAAAAACATAAATTGACAAATAAATGAATAAATAAATAGATATATATTCTCTAGAAATAAAATATTATAGATTATTCATTCATTTTTAATAACCAAACATTGCAATAAAAAAAATAAAAAACTAAAAATCCATTATTTTTTTTGTAGGAACTTAAAATCCATTATTAATAATAAAATATTTCTTTAAAAGAAATGATAAAAGTTTAAGAAATATTCTAAATGTACATATTTATCTATATTTATTATTTCATACGGAAATTTTATACCCAATACATTAGTAAGAAGTGAGATAAACTTAAAAAACTTATGACTTTTGAAAAAAAATACTAATTATATATACTCTTTTAAACCAACATTAATGATGATGATGAAAATAAAATTATTATTAGTGAAATGGATCTTAAAAGAAAGATAGAAAAATGATAATAATTAATTTATAAATAAAAATTTGTGAAGATATATGTAAACATGAATAGAGTTTTTAATTATCATGGGGATAAACCAAAAGCCACGTTTTTTAGACTTTAGAAAAAGAAGGGAAACAAAGAAAAAAAAAACGCTTTGAGAACTTTAAAAATAATTAAAGTCAAAAAAGCCTAATTGGCAAAAAAAAAAAACTGTGAAGACTTTAACTCTAAAGTCTTTAAAGCCTTGTGCCAATCACCTCTTAGATATGAAAAAACTTCTTAGAGAGAGAGAGAGAGAGAGAGAGAGAGAGAGAGAGAGAGAGAGAGAGAGAGAGAGAGAGAGAGAGAGAGAGAGAGGCTCGAAAATCGATGCAACGATTGTGCTTAAAAACTATTTGCTAACAAATATATAATGATTGATAGAGAGAAAACATGATTTTTGATTTCTTTGAGATTACAATTACAATTTGAGCTAATTATTTGATAATTTTATCTTCTTATATGTGTGATTTAATATAAAACTTTTCGTTTTTCAGTGAGAAGAAAAAAGAAAAGAGAACACATGCCGAATTTTTACTGCTCTAATTCCTATGAATCATCTAATTTTAGAATTCTAAAACATAAAATTCTATTTTTTAATCATAATTAATATGATCGGTTTAATTATAAACAATTTAACATTTTCTCTACAATTCGTTATTATGAATATTTATAAGTATACTATCCGATTCGCTCTACTTAAAACACGCACTATTAAAATCAACGTATGTAAACCAATATTCTTCCGCGGTGGACCGCGGATCCGATCCTAGTTAACTTTATGTTATTACAAGAAACAAAAAAGTTGAAGTTTCTTCAAAAGCCTCGAAGATATCAAAACACTAAATAAAAGCCTCCTTTATTTGTTTTGATAAAAACTCTACCTTCACAACAATGATAAATAATCATAATTAAGGCCAGCCTTTTTCTATTTTTGGAAACATCCTAGAATTGCAAACTTTTTTTTTTTGTAAACCAAAAGAGTTCATTTAAAGAATAATCTTCTATATCAAAAAGGCTATTAAACACGCGCAGAAAATAACCAATTTCTTCGTACTACTATTTGGTCACCATCCATTTGATACAATTGTATATTTATATACAGTGTCATGTCTAGACTTATGGAAATCTATGGCCAATAGTTAAAAAAAAATTGAAAAATTAATAGTTTTTTTATTATGTATAAACATTGTGTATTGTTCTATTTCACTAGAACATTATTCTATTTTTCTTAACAAAATATGATTTTTAAAATCTTATATGAATGATATTTTCACAAAATTATAACTTGAGAACAACTTTTTAATATAAGTAACAAAAAATAACTATTTCTAGTAAAAAGTAATAAAATAAAATATGTGTTGGTTAACCAACAAATAAATAATTTTTATAAACAAGGTGGCCTTTAAAGTAAAATATTTTTTTGTGGCATAAGAGATAAGACTAATGCCCTTTTGTTTTACATATGGCACGGCTGTATTTATAAAACACTAGATGGAAATCCGCGCTATGCTGCGGGACTTTTTAAAAATAATTATTTTTGAAGAAATTGTTTGATAACAAGTGGTTTTTAGAAAACAGCATGCATAAAGTGAATTTAACAAATAATTTAAGCTTCGAGTAGTTTTTATAAATAAAATTTGTTTTAATATAAGTATTTATGGTAAAAATTTAAAAGGTTTCATGGATTTTGTATTTTACCTTTGCTCGTATATTAGTTGTTTTTATTTTCTAAGTTTATATATAAATACATTAGTAAATAACTTTTATATCTTACTTTTACGGAAGCAATTTACCTTATAATCAATTTTTGTATTTGTTTATTTTATTTTACGTTTTATTATATGTTTAATTTCTTACAAATGTTAGATTTTTTATATTGTGATATATATAAATATTTTTTCAGCGACTTTTATACTTCAAGAACCTTAGATTATTTTTGTTAAAATCATTTATAATACACAAGCAATATTTGAATCTTACTAAAAGTATTTTAATATACCTTTTGTTTTAATAAATAATTTTTTACCATTAAATCATAATAATTAATACGCGAAGTTTTTTGTGTGTATTTTTGTTCGTTAGAAGCTGAACACTATGAACAAGTTTTTAACTTTAAAACAATTTGATTTTCGAATTATATAAGATCTATTTATTTATTTAATTAAATAATAATATTGTAAATACTAATATGTAATGCTTTACTAATACTAACGTTGCACTTGATATAGAGCGTTAAATATTTTTTCATTTCTAGTTAATAAAATATAAAATTAGATTGATTTTGTTTAAATATCTCTACCTTTAAGATTTTTTAAGAGTACACAACTAAAACCAAACCGAACCGAGCAGAATATAAATCGACCCGAACACAAGCCAAATCATTTCGAGGGGTTTTATAGTTCAAGTTTTGATATTTTGTTAGAAAAAATCTTTAAAAGATCATATTTTTTATGATATACATATAAATGTTTGTTTTCTTTTAAAGCTCAAAACTTTTGCCAAACCCGATAGTTAGTATTTGGATTGTCTCTTTCTAGCATTAATAAAATTATCTAACTGTCAATAAATATTATGAAAATAAAACTACTTTTGAATTCTGAAACAAAAGATTAATGACTTGAATTTTTCCTTTCTTTGAATGAAATGAGAGTTATATTATTTGTATTTGTTGTTGTATCTCTGAAATTATGTACACTCAATCAACAACTGAACCTTTAGTCGCCTCATGTACATTCTATAATTCCAAACTCCAATTTTTTTGTTTTGTTATTCAAATTAAATTATATAAAATCTAAAGGAACATACATGTGTTTGATTATTTATCGTGCCAATTGTTTTTGAATTTCTAAGAAGCTCCAAGAGCTTCAATCAAATTTGTGAGCTATTTTTTAAATTTTTTTTCTTTTTTAGTAGAGCTGAAAACATTGAATAATGATAAACAAATCTAACTTTGAGTTTAAGTAAGCAAACTTTTTCCAACCCATTTGCCTATTAGGTCTCTTCTATATCATATCCTTAATTTTTTCTGAATCTCAGCCTTCACAAACTTTTTTTTCACCATTCCTCATGATTCTCTCTTTTTTCCTCAATCGACCACTCATATTTTCTTATACACTTGGATCATGGAGTTTTTTTATGTGATTCATCAATTGAGACTTCAAGCTAAAACTACCGGTGAAACAAAACAGAGAAATTTATGCACTTTAAGACGAAAAGTAGATGTACTTTTGAAATATTGTTTTCTATTTATTTTCAAATTTAAATATTTTTATGAGTTTTTTTCTTTGTAATTTTCTTTTGGTATCTACCTCCATTCATGAAGCTATCAATTTTATTCTTTTTAAAAGAAACAATGTTTTGCATTTAGAAAAAAAAAACAAATTATGTTACCTTACGTGTTTGAAAAAAAACATACAATGGTGTGACTACCTACGAAATGATTAATAAGCACCTTACGTTAAACTGATTTTCTTAATAGAAATTTAGGCATTGAGCTGTATTTATTTTAATTAATTATTAGGTTGTTCTTTTAAAAATTTAAACCAATTGGGCTTGGGCTTGGACTTGAGTTTAATTTAATAATTATTAAGTGATGTGAAATTAGAAAGAGTTATTATTGGTTGAAAAATATGAGTTGTATTAATCGAAATGTTTTGATTGGTTGACGATTTTAATGAGGTGTCAGTCCCAGAATACTCCAAAATGCTGAGTGTCAGCACTGGAGAGACTTTTGTTGTTTTTATTGTATTAATTAAAACAACACACTTACTATGTAGTAATCAGTGGCAATTACCCCCTCTTTAAACAACACACCACAAATATAATATTTCTTTTATAGAAAAAAAATTGAGAATTTTGTTTTACGTAATATTTTCACCTAAAATTTGCTTCTAAATGAAGTTACTTTTTTTTTTTTTTTTTTTTTTCATCATGAAGTTACTTAAAACTTATCCAAAAAAAAAACATATTTATGGGAGAAGATGATCTTATCTACAATACCATAAGATATTGATAACAACAAAAAATAGATTTATGGAAGTTGAATTACAATAGTTAAAAGTAAAATAACTTCAACCAAAAATAGTTTAATTTGGATAAGTAATTCTTGTAAACAAGGAAAAAATTAATTTGGATAAGTAATTGTTGTAAACAAGGAAGACAAACCGAACATAATTAAGAATCAAATTCATCAAAGCAATCTCAATAAAGTAAAGAACAACTTAAATTAACCTCACTTAATCAAACATTTAAGAAAAAAGATCTACCACTAAAACGAACACAAGAAAACAAACAAAAAAACAAAGAAGAACCTGAAACATCTACTGAATTGTTGATCTTCATCATCGCCATCTTCAACTTCACGTCATACTTCGTACACCTCCTTATAATCATTCCATGTTAGCTTGCTTTATATATATGTAAGATCTATTAGTAGATAGCTACATATATACAAATACATAGCTATATATATGTATATATTCGATTGATCATGTGTATATAATAATAATAGCAATCTAATAATCAATACGGTGGTCGACCCGTAGACCAATACTGCTGATCATTCTGCTGTGGCGGCGGCAACTGAACCGAACCAAGAAGATTCGGTGGTAGTCCTTGAGCCGCCGCCATAGCTGCCATAGCTTGTTGCTGCCCCATCATCGGCGGAGATCCCATTCCTCCTCCTCCTCCTCCACCTCCTTCTCCACCTCCTCCACCGCCTCCGTGAACTGGCGTCTGCATCTCATCTTCTTCCAAAGGTAGCCTCTCGTAAGCCGCATTGCTAAAAGACGCCGCCATAACCACTACAGGACCCGAACACAACAAAGGTCCCACCACACTACCTCCAACGACCTGCCCTTGTCCTCCAGCTAGGTAAACGCTTAGTCCAGTGGCTGCAGGAGGCGCAGGCGGTGGCAAGAAAGATCCGGAAAGAGAGAGGATTTCAAACCGGCCGTGAAGGCTAACCACTGAGCCAGGTGGCGATCCAGGCTGACGTATCGTGACGTTAGTAACGTTTCCTGTACCGCTCATAACGCAAACGCCTCTTTGGCGGCGTCTAGCGAACGTAGCCATACAGTCAACTATGTCACATCCATCTCCGATCTCCATGACGTGAGTTCGAAGCGCGTTTGCGCTGTCTCTTGTAATGATTATTGGAGCTTTAGGTTTGTTCTTGGATCCTGCTGGTCTTCCTCTTGGCCTTCTTGTCATCTGTTCACCGCTTCCTCCTTCTCCCCCGTGTAAACTCATCTCTTTACCTTCGCTACCGCTGTTGTTGTTAGCGATGTTGTCCATGTTATCGCTTGTCTCTTCACGATCCATCTTGATGGATCGATTCATTATTGACCCTCCTTGCTGCTCATGATCTTGATCAGGGTTTCTCTGCGGCTGCTGATGATGGTGGAGAAAGAACTGCTGTTGTTGTTGATGTTGTTGTTGTTGTTGTTGTTGTTGAAGATGTAATTGGAAGTCTCTAGCGTGGAAAGGAGGAGGAAGAGAGCTTTGTGATCCATGAGATTGAACTGGATCCATTCTTTGTTGAGATGAGAATTGATTTTGATGATTTGACCTAGGAGAGACTCTAGATAGAAGAGGAAAAGAATAAAAATGTTTTCACAACAAATATCAAGCTGGAAATTTCTTCTTCATCTTATTCTTTGATTGATTTGGTAAGGGGTTTTTTTCTCTCTCTACTCTTGTATTCTTATTCTCTTCTGATTTGAGTTGTACTTGGGAGGAAGTGAAAAGGGCTTTTGGTGGGTTTTAATTTCTCACTCTCTCCTTTTGGAATTTTCTTTTTTGGTTTATTTGAGATGTGTTGGTGTTTTGAGGTGTCTGTGGGGGTTGTCTGCTTAATTTGCTTTGGTTGGTAATTGGTAAATTAGGGTTAGGAAGAGAGAGGAAGAAGAGAAGAGATAGAGATATGTAGCTTTTGTTTTTTTCCTTGTGCTTATGACAATGACATCAATCTCATGTTTTAGGCGGTGCTTTGGTCCCCACCTCTACGCTACTGTTTTTTCTTTCTATAACATTTCAATCGCTAGCTCTCGTTTTTATTTAGGCTCATTTTCGATTACTAGATTTTACTGAAATGAATATCTCAATAACTTAATGACTTATTTGATAGATCACCCATATTAATTTTCAATATAATTTTTCATATAGTTATTCTAGTCTATATTCAAGATTGGTAATCCTAATACCCATAAATGAAAAATAGTTTAAAGCAATTTTCATATGTAACTCATTTTGGTACCGAATTTTATTTTCTTACAACGTATATGTATAGTAATTACACTAAACATCATATCTTTAAATACGTATACATTAAGTATATGTAATGTGTATGTTGCACTCACACATACATATATATATGTATGCACAATCAAAATAAGAATCTTCTAACTTCTAGGGCAACTAAGTACTAAGAAGTGAGATATATATAGTTGTTTAACAAAAATACTAATGAATTTCGGGCGCATGAGCAATAAAGAAGATAAATTTTGTCGTATAATATACTATATTAAGAAAAAAGATAGAGGGTGCGATGTGTGGATATTGCATTGGAGAGAGTGAAGTAATAAGAAGACGCGAAGAAGGCGCTGACAAATCTCAAACCCGAAGGGAGAAAGCACGAGAGAGAGAGAGACAAGAGATTGTTGAATTGAATGTGCAAAGAGAGAGAGAGAAAGGATCGGAGAGGCAATGGCATGACTCTTGTGGACGCAAACCCATGTCTTAAACGATGCTCTTTGTCGGCTCTCATGCTCTTTCCTTCTCCACGTGCCCTTCTCCTTCCACTCGTTTGCATTTTGGATTAGCAATGGAACGCTCAAAGTGTGTGTGTGTGTTTTTGTCTTCTAATTTATCTAAGTTATATAGTTAAAAATATTAATTAAAAAAAAATAGTACTAAAATCAGCTAGTTTCTACTAATTTGTGCAACTTTTAAATGACTCAATCTAGTAGTCTTTTGGACGTAGACTGGTCTATTTGTTGTTCAAGTTTTACGCGTCATGTTGTTAAATGAGGTATACCATTTTCATACTGCATCAAATGTGCCAAATTACATCACTCAAAAGTCAAAACCTTAATTAATATCAAAGGAGTTTTACTCTTTACAACACTTAGAAACACAGTAAACGTACGGTTCAAAGGAATGATTCCATGATGGACAATTTTACATTTAACAACAAAACATTATGAACTGCTCTAGATTAACGACGTTTGAGATCTCCAAAAAATTTGTCTCCATAAAATCTAAACCTTTGGTTACAAGAATAATGGGATTTTACTATTATTTCAAGTGGTTAATTTATCACAGTTTCTACAATTTGCTACTTTGTACATTCTTTGGTCATCGGTAATCTTCCATTAGCATCTAATAGTTGAGTAGTTAGATATCTATCGAGTAACATTCACATGAAAACGAAAAGAAAAAAAAAACGAAGATGTATATATTATTTAATTATGAAATATATTTCAAAGTTGTTAAATAAATACATTATCATAATCAAAGTTTGCTCTATAAGTTTGATCTGGACCAGCTTATATGAGAACATTGTTGGTTGACAAGAAAAGCAAGTTAATACGAGAACACAGTTCCACCAAACGAGGAAGTTGCTGTTGATGTTTGACTTTATTAGATTGTATCTAATCTCAAATATGACTCATAAGTACTATTCGTAACTCATGTTTAGAACATTTGGTTATGTACGAATCCAAAATTATTATATGCAAACATGATACAATTAATCACTCCCTTATAATCTTTTATATATACACATATATATATATATATATATATAGGGGCGGAGGCACACTATTGGTAGTGGGATCAGCTGACCCCAACTATTTTCTAAAATTCTATCATATGTCTTAACATTAGATCTAATGAACCCAATTAAAATTATCACTTGACCCCATTGATCCAATCAAAAAACTAATTTACATATATGAAAATCCCAATAATTTTTTTAAATTGAACCCACGTTCAAACGAAACCAAAACAATAATACAACTTTTAATGATTTATATGAATTAATAGAAAAATAACAATAAATTTTTTTTATGTCTCTTCTTCTTCCTACTGTTGAAGGAAAAAAAACTCCAAATTATGGCCTCTCTAAATCAAAGTAATGCTTTTTTTGCTTTTTTTTAAATTTCTTATACTTTTGTGATATGATTGGTTTGTTTATAAAATGTATGAATGAATGTAGAATGCAATTGTAGATTTTCTTTCTACATTTTATAAACAATTTTTTTTTAATATTTATTTTGACCCCAATTAAAAACAATCCTGGCTCCGCCACTATATATATATATTGTATCTACGAAGTTCAATCCAAACTACCAAAAATATAGTGATAGTTGCTAAATGGTTTTCTCTTTTTCACTTTTGAAGTTTAAGAATGTGATTCCCTCATCAGATTACCATGCATATAGCAATAATATCATTATCTTATGTTTTGGAGAAATTAGTTTGTCATCTGTTTTTCAAAATTTCTTTTAAACAAAATTCTTGCGAACACTCTTGTTTTTAACAATTACTACCAAGTTACCATGTATCACAATGCATATGACGTATCGATGATAATTATTACATTATTATTATTATCTTTTCGTTTACTTAATTTGTCCTCCTTATATAACTATTAGCAACTACATACCAATATTCCCAAATGAGATGCCAAATTTTGTTTTCTTTAAAAATTCCAACAATTAGTTGGTTTGATAACGATCATTGATCCCAATACAAAGGATTACCTTACGTCATTATTTGAAGTGTGATTATTAATTATCTTTCGAATAACAAAATCAATAAAGTTTTTGGGGAAATGAGGTCACTTTGTATTTTTTTAAACTTATCCTCATCAAAAGGCATGAATTTTATTTAACAGACCAGCGTTGAGTTCAGAAGCTCGCAAAAAGAGAGGACTGCTTGCTTTTAATCCCGAATTTTATGGATTATTAATTGATTAGTTTATAAATCTTAGTATTATATGTTTAAATTTTGTTAAAGTATTGAGTATTGTAAAAAACATTTGACACCTTTGTATAATATGATGTTCTAATCATTTTGTGTGTCACTATCCCAAAGTTCGGTTAAACCAGTTTTAATTTAATCATGACATGCTCTAATAAATTACATAGATTAAAGGAGCATCTAATAAAGCCGAAAAAAAAAACCATTTTTATTTAACATTTCAACAGAACGAAAATAGCATCTCAATAATCTGTTAACAAAATAGTTTCTTGATTTTTTTTGGAAAAAAATATTACTTCAAGTGTATTAGTTGATCACATGATTTTATCATAAGAATCTTGCAATTTTAATGGAAAAATACAATATGTGCTGAAAAATACACGAGATGAGGAGGAAAAAATTGTCAAATTGCGTCAATTGTTGGTTATATCCTCTTATTTTATGAATTCTCCATTTTGAAACATTAAAAAATGCTTTGTTCAAAAAAAAAAAACATTTAAAAATGCTTTGAAAATGTAATGAAATTACTCTAAAAGTCTAAATTATTTCTATGATGTTCATTTGTGCTTCAATTTACACTAAATCGATAGTAGAAATGTAATATAGTGAAATTTATTTGAAAATCGAATAATTTTTTTCGTAAGTATACTTAACTTTAACAATAATGAAATTGGTTTTGTATTTTAGATAGAAAAACAATTGCTTATCAAAACTTTCAGATTATGCGTTGTCAAAGTAAAATTCCTGATGAAGACAAGAAAAGAGTAAAGGCAAAGACAGGCAATATATTTGTAAAAGGCCAAAGGGATGCAAGCTTGTAAAGCATCAAAAAATTGTGATGTTAATTAAAACTATAACCTAATTTTTACTGCCCACAAAAAATATATAGATTATGTCACATATAAAAATAAGTTAAACAAATAATGAACCTATCACCTTAGAAGAAAAAAAGTCTATGACAAATTGAATATGTATAGAATTGTATGAGCACAACTTGGATAAATTAATTAAATAAAGAAAGAAGTTGGTAGATTAAGCTGATTAATTAAAGAATTGAAAAATAAGTCCCCATGTGGATGGCACCTAATTGCCTCGAATCTTATCGTGCTTCTGCTTTCCTCACGAATTCAATTTATGGTCCCCTACCAGCCAAATGTATATAAATGTATTTTATAGTAGTGATTAACCAAATATTTATTTGTGATTTTAAATATAAATATGCAATAAATACTATAAGCTAAAATAATACTCCATGTAATATAGGAGGATATTGGAGATTTTAACCATGTAATATCATCAATCATTTATACCAATTTTCCAAAAAAGGTATTTAAGTTTATAAGGCTTTTTTTTAACGTCTTTCATATAATAATATAAAACCATAAGTATAAAACAGAGTCAATCAAAACATAGGACATAATAAACCAAAGGAGAAAGAAGGCATTAAAAAAACAGAGCAAAGAAGATTACAAGAGAACCTATGCTGAAGCTATGCGTTCTCTCTCAATCCGGTCGTGAAGCCAAGATGGACCTCCTAGCGCAAGATACGATGTAGGCCGTCCCTCCTTCGTGACACTACAAGCAATATCCCTGGCCAAAGTATTGGCTTTCGGTGAAGAGAAGTGAAAGCTTACCTCCCCCATCACCCGCATTGCTTGTAAGATTTTATCGAGCTGAGAACGATACTTCGGCCATTTCAAAGGATTCTCCAATGCCATCACTGCCGCGTTACAATCCGACCAGATTTCGCAGTTGTTAATATGAAGATCATGAAGACTGCGAAGACACCACAGTAGGCAGTGTAGTTCTGCAGAGAGTCTGTTCATTCTTGGAAGAAAAGCATCTCTAGCATGAAATAGAGCATTGCCTATGTGGTTCCTTAAAATCCAAGCACCCCCACAGTGAGCCGTAACACTTACCCAAGAAGCATGAATGTTGCATTTTAAAATCCCTAAAGGAGGCTTCAACCACCTTAAAACCTGTCTACCTCCACAGCTAGCCTCCTCTGCGGTTTCAAGATTAGTATTGTGGTTAAGTGTAGTCCATTCTTCCATTTCCTCTAAAGCCGTGGCAATGATAATATGAGGATCATTCACTTTGGCTGCGTATAATGTTGAGTTACGCGACTTCCAAATTTCCCATAGAAGCCACGGGATCACAGCTCTAAGATTCACATGCACTTCTCCTCTCCTCATGAGACGTAAAACATAATCGATATTACCTGTGGCTGATGTAGAGAAACCCTGATCCGAAAATGGTAA